CACTAGGGATCAAGCTTCCACATTTGGAAAGGGCAAACATTCAAACCACGGCTCCAGGATCACAACTAAAGCAGAGTGTTCTTAAAGCCAGCATTCCAGCTTTCTATTTTACCACTTTCCCAATCAGGGCAGGAATAGCAGCTCCCAGTTGGGCTTATTTGTCAACTGAGAGGCATTCTTGATCACATAGCCTAATGCTCACTCCTCCAGTCTTACCAATGGCTTTGTAAGCACTTAATTCTCTGTATTAAATTTCTTGCTGCTTAAAATAGCTGAATTAGTTTCTTTCTTTTTGTTTTTTTATCTCACTCCAGTTAAAATTGCTATTTTTTAAAATATGTATTTTTTATTGATTATTCATATTCATGGGGTACAAAGCAGACTGGATTGGTTTCTGTTTCCTGCAGTTGAGAATTGAATGATGCAGTCTACGCTCAGCTAGATCCTCAGTATATTTGGTCAACCTCTCATCATCTCCTTCAACATTTTCCCAATGTACAGGATTATACAGTTTTAGCTTCTCTCACAATCATCTTAAGCTAGTGAACCTCACAGAATTCTTACTTGGCTCTATCAGCTCCTTCCCTCCAAAGACTTAGAGTGTAGTTGAATCGTGACTCATGCCACAACTCAATTAAAAAAATAAATAACCATTTATGTTGCTAAAACCTCTATGTAAAATACAAATAGGAGGGACTGGCTGGTTAGCTCAGTTGGTTAGAACATAGCCTTGTAACACCAAGGTCAAGGGTTTGTTCCCCATACCAGCCAGTGGCCAAAGAAAGAGAGAAAGAATTAAAAAATATATATAAATAGGAGCATGTTTCTTTACCCATTTCAAATTAACAGCTGGACACTAGAGGCATTCCTGTTAAAGTCAGGAATAAGACAAAGAAAGTTGGTTATCAACACGATTACTTAACATCAATCTGGAAGTATTTCATTATTGATCAAGATAATAAAATAACAAGTACTGCAAAGAAGAAGGAAAAATTTTCATTATATACAATAAGATTATATAATTGTCTACCAGGAAAATTTGAATAAACTGAAAATAAAAACTGTTAAGAAAGTCTGGTGAGGCAGTCAGCTGAAAATTTAATTTAAAAAATCAATAGTTTTTCTATATAGCAACAAAAACCATTTAGAAAATAGAAAAAAAGAAATAATCTATTCCAGTAGCAAAATTTGCATAAAATAACCAGAAAAATAAATATATAAATTTAATTCAGTCTCCATGAAAATTCTAGCTTTTTTTGAGCTCAGAAAATTTTCTAAAGTTATGTGAAGGAATAAATATTCAAGTATAGCTACAAAAATCTGAGAAAGTGAAAGTAACAAAGAGAGACTTGCCCTATGAGATATTAAAATGTATCATAAAACTGCAATAAGAAATGGAGTGACTTTGCATCCAGAATTGTTAGACTGATCAATGAAATAGAAAAAAAGACCAGAAATAGAACCAAGTGTATGTATGAATTTAATATATGGCGTACATGGTGGGAAGTCAGTGGAGCGAGTATGGATTAGTCAATAAATTGTGTTCTGGCAGATAACTTTTTGAAAAGTTATACTCCTACCTCACATTTTATATCAGTAAACTCGACTTCGATCTAAATGAAATAAACGCTCACTTTGGGAAAAACAAAAACAAAACCAAAAAACTCCTGGTAAAATATAAATAGAAAGTGCTAAAGGTATAGGTAAATATTAGTATTATTTAAGCTATAAATATTAGTATTATTTAGGCTAATAGGCCTTTTCAGGCTTAACATTAAAGCCAGAAACAACGAAAAATAGGTTGACTATGTAAAAATTATGACCTACCAAGCAACTTTACCACCTCACCCCAGTAAATGGTAAAATGGGGGAAAAAGTTGGAACATATGAGAGACAATGGGATGTTTTCCTCATAATGCAAAGAGTTCATGTAAATCAATGAGGAAATAGAAAGACATCTTCCCTGAAAAATATTTTTCCCCACCTCAAAGAAAAATGGGCTAAGGAAGTGAAAATGCTATTCATATTAGAAGTCAATTGGTCATGTGAAAAACATTCAACCTTCCAATAATCAAAGAAATGCAAATTCACACAAAATGATATTTTAATTTTTGGATTGACACATATTAAAAAGAATAAATCTACTGTCACTAAATGTGGTAAGGAAGTAAATACTGTTATACACCATCAGTGAGAGATACCTTTTCGGGTGTATGTATAACAATTGTGACCAGAAATTACACTTCTAAGATTTTATCCTAGGGAAGTTATAAGAAAAGTGAAAAAAGATGTTTTCACAAATTTATAGTGTGGTTTATAATAGTGAAAAATTCAATATAATCTAAGTGTTACAAATGATGAACTGATTGAATAGAAGTTGGAAAATCCATGAAATGGAATTCCTGACAGCCATTAAAAATACTAAAGGCTGGGAAGGGTAGGGGATGGGGGGAATAGAGAGTGGTTGGTTAATAGATAATAAAATTACAGCTAGATAGGAAAAATAAGTTCCAGTGGTCTACAGTAGTGCTAAGTACCTATTATTAACAATTTATTGTATGTTTCAAAATGATTAGAAGAGAGGAGCTTAAATTATCTCATCACAAAGAAATGATAAATTTTTGTGATGGTGGATATGCTAATTACCCTCATTTAATCATCACACATTGTATACATGTATTGAAATATAACTCTGTTCTCTATAAATATGTGCAATTCATATACATCAATTAAAAAATAAATGAATTTGTAAAAAAGGTACAAATACTAGTTAAAATATATTGTTATCCCTCTTAAGAATATTTGCATTTTATAGATAGTTAAGCCAAAAAAATATACACACGCAGATCTACACTTAGTTGTATGAAAGATGTCCACAATACATTCATGTCAAAACAATGGAGCTCAAAGAAATAAAATAAAACAATGTATACCTGTACATAGAAAAACTCTGGCAGTATACACTAAAATTTTTATAACGGTTATTTTGGGGTAGATTGTGGGTAATATTTTTCTAATTATTCATTTCTGCATTATCTGAATCTTTTGCAATTGTCATTATAACCAGAGAGAGAAAAACAAAACAGCTGTGAGGAAAGAGTGGAAAAAAAAATGAGAATAAAAGGGAGGAAGAGCGAGAAGGAGCAAGAGACATTTTCTGGGAGGTTTACTCTTGGCTTTAGGTGCTTTTTTCTCTTCTGAGACTACATTTTAAAAACTTCCTTCCCTTTCGATTTTCTGGTTTTCTCTTAATCCAACTGGACAGGTTCTTAAACCATGTATATTCAAACCAAAATTTTATAATTTAGAAAAACTATATAATAAATCAATCAATCCATGATGAATTTTGCCCAAGGAGAAAATGCAGTTGGATGGGATTACCAGCCACACAAAACACCTGTATTCAGGGCAGGCCAGAGTATATATCATTTTGAACTATGTGCTGTTTTACTTTAGTAAAACCTTTCCTGATGGGACAGTTATGAAAGACATGGAGGTCTTTTATTTATTCTTCCAGCTACTATAGATCATACTTATTGCTGCCCCTTGCATAATTGTTCCCATTCAGTTGAGCTGTGGTGTTATGCTTTCAGCCAAAGCTGTAGATTTTCTTCATTAATCACTTAACAAATATTTATTGAAGCCTACACTGTGCCTGGCACATTTCTGGATATTTGAGACCTATCAGTGTCCTGCTTTCCATATTTCTAAGAAACAGCCATATAAAAACAACTATTGTTGAGGGTATCTGCTACCTTATTCAGTATCCCTCAGAGAAGTTTATCTAAGACCTAAGAACAAGAAACGTGGTTAAATAATTTATATGCACTTTACTCCTGAACAAAGTAAATTTTATTTCAATTTTTTTAGTTTGGGCTGCCAGGAAGCTTAATTTATATCTAGCCCCTCTTGAAAACTGTGTATTGTGGATATTGTGTCCATCCTATTCCAATAATAACCATTTAATCTATATTCTCATTAGCCTTGCTTTATAAAAACGAACTGTTTTGTTTTCACTGAATTCTAATGTATTTGTAAACTGCTTCAAATCTCAATCCCTTGTGGGGCTAGAGGAACAAGATAAACAACACCATGAAGAAAGAGACAAATCCAGAATGTAGTGCATTCTTCAAGACAACTGACCTGGTCTCTTCAAAAAGCCAATACTAAGAAAAACTAAAAAATGGAGGGAACTGTTCTAGTTTGAGAAATGAAAAACGAAACAAAAACCAAACCTTATCACAGCCCAGGGTAGTAAGTGAATCCTGACTGGATCCTAGCTCAAAAAAACAAAACATCTTCTGTAAAAGATTATTTTGAGAACTGAGGACATCTGAATATGCTCGGTATTAGATAACATTAGCAAATGATTATTAATTTTCCCGGGACTTGATAATAGTATTGTGATTATGAAGGAGAATGTCCTTATTTTTGGAGATGCATACTTTAGTATGTAGGGGTGTGGGGTTTTGTCTGCAACTTTGGGATGATTCAGCAAAAAAACTCAAAAAACGTTTACAAACTTATAGACAAAGCAGTATGGTAAACGATGAATTGTCTACTCTTGGTATTGGGTAGTACCACTGAATGAAGGGGGATAAACCTGGGTTTGTTATGATTTTTGCCGCTGTTCCTATGACATCACTAGAAAGCTGGAATTATTACCACTCCAAAGCAACCTGAAATCTCGCGACAGTACAGCTGGTGGCGCGCAAAACGCGGTGGGAGGGGTTGGGCCGAGAACGAGTGACTTCCGGTCCGGCCGTTGTCTGGGTGGCGCGGTCGAGTCATCGCTGGGCCTCGCCGCTTTAGTCTCCCACCCGCCCCCCGCCCCGGTGCGGGGGGTCGACCAGCCAACTAAGGCGGGAGGCGACTTGGATCCTTTCCTCCATTTCGTGTCGGCCAGCGTCCTGGCTACCCGCGCTGGGGCCTGGGGTCCTTGAGGCCCGCGAGGCCCAGTCTGAGGGGCTGGGGCCTACATCGGCCCGCCGCTGGGCTCCATGAGGCATAGCCTGACCAAGCTGCTGGCAGCCTCGGGCAGCGACTCCCCAACCCGCAGCGAGAGCCCGGCGCCGGCCGCGACCTGCTCGCTGTCCCCGGATCTGACCCGGGCGGCGGCGGGGGAGGAGGAGACGGCGGCGGCCGGATTTCCCGGCCGCCAGCAGCTGCCCGGCGACGAGGGCGTGTTGGAGGCCGGGAGGGGGAGCCGCGGCGGCGTGGCCGTGCGCGCGCCCTCGCCCGAGGAGATGGAGGAGGAGGCTGTCGCCAGCGTCCCCGGGGAAGAGACGGAGGACATGGACTTTCTGTCCGGGCTGGAACTGGCGGATCTGCTGGACCCCCGGCAACCGGACTGGCACCTGGAGCCCGGGCTCAGCTCGCCCGGGCCTCTCTCCTCGTCCGGCGGAGGCTCAGATAGCGGCGGCCTGTGGAGAGGGGACGACGACGACGAGGCCGCGGCTGCTGAGATGCAGCGCTTTTCAGACCTGCTGCAGAGGCTGTTAAACGGTATCGGCGGCTGCAGCAGCGGCAGTGACAGTGGCAGCGGCGAAAAGAGGCGGAGAAAGTCCCCGGGAGGAGGAGGCGGTGGCGGCAGCGGCAACGACAACAACCAGGCGGCGACAAAGAGTCCCCGGAAGGCGGCGGCGGCCGCTGCCCGTCTTAATCGGCTGAAGAAGAAGGAGTACGTGATGGGGCTGGAGAGTCGAGTCCGGGGTCTTGCAGCCGAGAACCAGGAGTTGCGGGCCGAGAATCGGGAGCTGGGCAAACGCGTACAAGCACTGCAGGAGGAGAGTCGCTACCTACGGGCAGTCTTAGCGAACGAGACTGGACTGGCTCGCTTGCTGAGCCGGCTGAGCGGCGTGGGACTGCGGCTGACCACCTCGCTCTTCAGAGACTCGCCCGCCGGTGACCATGACTACGCTCTGCCGGTGGGAAAGCAGCAGCAGGACCTGATAGAAGAGGACGACTCAGCGGGAGGAGTGTGTCTTCATGTGGACAAGGATAAGGTGTCGGTGGAGTTCTGCTCGGCGTGCGCCCGGAAGGCGTCGTCCTCTCTTAAAATGTAGGGTCAAGTAATCTGCTCTTTATCCGCGTTTACCCCTTTCAACTCCCTTACACCATGTAAAACCTTAGTGGGACATCTTCACTGGACACATTTCAGAGGAGGAAAAAAAAGTAATATTGAATCTTTAAGTGTTTAGCTAAAAGCATGAATGTGACACTGTAACCAACTCCTAATGATAACATGTGACTATTAAATCTCTCTGACAGTTTCTTTTTTAGGTGATTTCCTTCCTGCCAGGCTCCGTTGTAGGGGTTACAGAACAGTCGTTCCCGCCTCACAACCTGGTAAGGATCCATCTCTTCACGTAACGCTCATGCTCTGCTGCTTAGTCTACTTTAATGGGCAACATCTCAATTTGTGTGTGTGATTTTTTTTTTTTTTTTTTAAGTCTCTTTTGGAAGGTGGGAGGGGAATCTAATTTGGGCCCTGTCCACCCTGGAAACAGACTTGTGCTGGTCAGTAATGTATTTAAGATGCTGCTTCTGGTTGAAATAGCTGTTAATGTGTCCCCTTGTTCAGACTTGCGTGTACCTAGCTCTTCTGTCCCCAGTGTGGACATGGCCTTGGATGACATCGGTTCCAACTGTACACTGAAACCTGCTTATAGAGATACAGTTTGGAGACAGTGAAACAGGTGAAGTTGAATGGAAGTTCCGAGTTGTACAAGGTGCAAATTGGAATTCCAATTTTAGAGCAACTTTTCAGAGGTTGACAATAAGTATTTGGGGCATGCACAAATGTGGTAGTTATTTTGCTGGAGGTGACAGAAATCTCTTAGATATTCAAGAATGCCTTTTAGTTTTCAGTAGAAGATATAGAAATACAATCTATTCAGAGTAACAGATTTTAATAAATCTCACCATTAGAGAAGTTGGAAATTAACATGCATGTCAGACTCCTGTGTTTTAGTTAATTGGAGGAAAAATAAGAATGGTTAATGAAATGTTTCTTTAAGGACCAGCACAGTGATTATTATCCTATCACTGAGTATGAATAAATTGTTGAACATCTTTATTTTTGTTGTATTAAAATTTTAGGTTAAATTTGTGTATGATTAGATATTGAAGGTTGTGATATGTGAATGAAAACGTGTAAAGTGAGGCTTCACAAAGAATCTTTTTGTTCATATGTCTAAAGTATTTGTCAAATTTAAAAATAATTTTTAAAATTGAGAGGTTCTGGCCACTTAAATGCCATGATTGACACTATTTTTCTAAATATGGGACATACTCTTCCCTTGAAGTTACTTTATTGTCCAGTTGTGTAAATTGAATTATGGTGTCCTTCAGTGTAAGAGGCATTAAGAAATTCTTTGTGAAACATCACTGTTTGATAAAGTATATACGTATTTAGCATCCTTGTTTTTCTTTGTGCTAAAGTGGATACAGCTGTTGGGGCAGAAGATACGGGACCAGCTGCTGGCCACATTTCCTGCTTTATTTTAAAAGGTAGTATAAGAAATGAGGAAAAAGAGGTAATATCAGGGCTTCTGCTGTCTTTTATTTTTAAAACGTTCATAATTAAAAAGTTTTCCAGCAGTCCAAAGATGTAAGTTATTTCACACATAAAATGTTTTATTTTGTTGTTGTTTGGTTATGAAAATGGAATCCTTGTTCTTGCACAACTGTAAATGTTTTGTTGCTAGATGATACGATTTGAGACCTAAATTGGTCTCTGGTTTCCAGTGCATCACAGCATATTTTGTATAATCATCTACTGCACTTGAGCATGAATGGGTAGTAGCCAAACTCAGAACCTGGAGTGATGAACCTGCTTATACCTAAGGGCAGGAGCAAACCCCTCACAATGCAGCTGCATGGATTTTTAGTGCCTACTGAATTATATATATATATATATACACACACACACACACACACACACACACATATATATATATATATATATATATAAAAACCAAAAGTAGTTGGAAAAATTATTTGAAATGACTAATTTGTGCTATCTTCATGAAATATGTTAAATGTAGCTTTTTGAAACAGAAGCCTTGAATTGAAATTTAACTAATACTTGAACATTTTGTATATATTTCTTTGTATATAATTTTGTGCAGTACCAATGACAAAAATATGGTGTCATAATAAAACCAGGTTTGTTGATCTTTCAGTTATGGGCTCAAAGAATTTATTCATCTCTAACATGACATTGGAAAATAATGGATGAAATAGGAAAAATGATTGTTGTTAATGCTGACTGTGGGTCTTAATCAAAAGGTTCTGGAAGCAGTAAGTTCGTTTTTCTAAAAATTATACTATTTCCTTGGAATATTTTCTTCCTAACGTCAGTGCTTTTCCTGCAAAGTTTGGGCTGGGGAGAAACAGTAGTCAAAGCTTTCTGAATTGGAATGCTTTGAAATTCCAAGTGTAGATTTTTAGAATGTCATTTTATAAATGGCAATTTTTGGAATTACTTAAGAACTTTTGAAAATGGAAAGATTAGTATGGATTATTTTTTAAAGCTGCTTTGTTAGGTTCTTATGTTTTATTAACTGTCTTTTCTTAGTTTCCATTTCATTATTTTTTTTCTAGTTTTGGTGACTTAGTGATTTTGTCATTTTTACATCGACTTCATGGTCTTGTTTTTACATGGTAATTGCATGTATTTAGGACCTAATAGGGGCTTTAAATAAATTTGGTCATATTTATGTGTAAGCACATTTTACTGTAAATGTTTGGGTTTCTGAATTTACAACAGATCTGTTTATTTCAGTATGTAGAAAACAGTATCTTAAAGTGTCCTATTCACTACATGTTAATTAAAAAAAATTATTAATATGAAACTGTTGTCTTACTATTTTTAGAAAATTGTGTTCTGAATGATTAGTATTTGGATAAAGGAGATTTCTGGAATATAAAATGGATTGTTTTGAAATTTTTTAGGTTTGACTCTTTCTTGCAATGGTTGAAAACAATTTAGTATTTGGGGGACCTTTTTGGTTTTCTAATTGTGGTTCTATGATAAAATGATACAGAAATAGAGTAAAGATGTAGCTTTTTAATATTTGTCTTCTGATGGTGGCAAGAATTCATACATTAATTGAACTAACACATGATATTGACCTGCTGTTTCTATCATATTGACTTACTGTTTCTGCACTTCCTTGACCAAACCTAACTAAAAAGTCCACATTTGTTAAAATGTAGTCACACTTCTTATATAATCCAACAAAAAGTGTTCAAAATATTTAAAATATTTGTACATTTTATCATCACTAAATTAATCTCTCTCTCTTCTCTTTAAACAGCTTAGCAGTGTCTGCAAAAACGAATCTTTTCCTACAACCTGTTAACTGACTGGACTGATGGTAACAAAGTAATTGTGGGAGCCATGTCGATCAAAAATTGGCATCTGCTGAAAAAAATGATTGCCATTTTCAAGTTCCCAAATTACTTCTGTACTGATTTCACTTTCCAGAAATGGAGATATGAAAAGATTCTCTGGAATCCTTGAAAGACTTAATAGAAATACATGAGACTAAGTTAATTTTGGAACAAATTTTTTGTCTTTCATGGGAGTGATACTCAGTTCTTTGCATACCTTTTAAAAATTGTAACCATTGGAGAAGAGAATTATAGTAGTTCATCAAGAAATATTAGATTCTTTACATAATCGAGAGCACATTCTATGGATTTACATTTAGTCAACTAGAATTACATAAACAGGCCATCAGTGATCACAAGGCATATCATGAGTTTTGTATTTATTTCTTGGAACATGAGAGCTAATTTGGAGTACAGACAGACCCTGCTGAGTAGAGTATAAAAGTTAATGTAAAGTCCTTAATTATAAAGAGTAGTCTTTTTAAATAGATGCATTGATTTGTCTGTATATCTTTGAAAAAATTGATTATGATTAAATGTGTGCGTAGTTAATTGCAATTTAGGATAATACCAGGATGTGTGGATTCTGAGGTTTTGGCTTCTTGAGCTTTCTCTGAGTACTTGACACTGTTTTTTTGAATATTTTGAAGTTTCTAATGAATGGTATACTAGTTTCTACTGTTTTATATTAAAATTTCTCTAGTGTTATGTAAGGGCTTTAGTATTCTGGATGATGGGAGTGGCTTTTTTCGTGGTATATGGTTTTACTTAATAGAAATATTTTTCTGCTTTATTATAAGTGCGAAAAAACACAAAAACTCTGGATTGTTTTATTTCATTTTCATTGGGTTATGTTAATACACTCTTTCACCTGGTCTAGACTGAGTCATTTTATCTTACTGTTTGACTCATTTGTGGAAATGGGTAGATAGAAGAGGGAAGGGGTAGGCTCTTATTTCATAATAACTATATAGCTGGTTATTGTATGGTATTATTCAAAACTTATTAAATCCCGTTCTTATTAAATCCCGTAATCTAAGTGTATTCAGTGCCTGTGAAGCCAGGCGGCAAAGAGCATTCCCATTAGCTTATATGTAAGTAGCTGATGCTCCTACAGTACGGATGGTTATAATTTCACAACCAGAGGTGTAGGCACCAACACAATTTGGTGACCATAACTACTACTTTGATGAATACAGAGTGGATTATTCATTGATAATGAATAATTGTCTTTAATATGCTTACCTAGTTCAGCATTTTGAAGGTGTAGTTTAAGGTCTCACTAATTTAGTCAAATTTTTAAGCTAAATAATCTGATGACTTTTGAAGTTGAATAGGTATTAAGATATTAACAAGTGTTTTTTTCTTGCCAGACTCATATGAATACAAAGCTTTGAGAACCTCCTAAATGTTTATATTTTTACTGTTTTTCTGTTTTTTTCATTTGTTACCATCTAAGCCAGTGATCAGAAAGGGGAAGTCTTCCATTAGAAACTTGCAGAATATTTTGTTTGATTAGCATGGTGTTTTTCATATATTTAAATTTGAATACATTTATATGTAGCCTCAACACTCTCTCAGTCACTCCCTATTGTCTTAATTTTGTTGACCCAAAATTACTTGTTGAAAATATTTTGCTCTATTTTCATAATGAACTGATTTAAAAATCTAGTCACTGATTGTGTTTTAAACATTTGTGTAGTTCTGTTAATATACTGGTTTAAATTTTATTGGTAGCCCAACTTCTTTAGAATGTGCCTCCAAATTCTGTATCTTTTCTGTATACTCACTGAGGTCAATTTCCTAGACTCCTCTGGCTCTTAGTGTACTCTAGTTTGGGGGTTATGAAATATATTAATAAGTAAAGTATAACATAATACACTTTTTAAAAAGCCAGATATGCAAAGTGGATTGTAAAAGACAGATTTAAATAGTTTGTCTGCTATGACTGCACTGAAATATTAAAAACTATTTTTCTGACTGGCAGTGTTTTTTAGGTCTTAGCTACAAATGACTGTTTCCTTAAATTGTAAAGCTGATCACAGCAAGTTCACATCATGTATCTTCCCTCTGAACGAAAATTTGGTAAAGTAGTTTTGTATTAACAGACTTAAAATGCTTTACAAAGCTTATTTTACCCATTTCTACTAATTGAAGAGATGATTTAAGAAATATGTGGCAGAGGACAGATATTAGAAAGAAATCCTTTTTGGTTACAGAAAGCATTGTAAACTCTTATACCCATTTATAGATGATATGCTAGGGAGTAAATACTCTGAGAATGTTTAAGGATAAGTAAGGAAACAATCTGTACTAAATTGTCAAACAACTTAGTTATATGAATGGGGTTTGAATGATCTAAGTTGATTGAACCATTCTGTATTCTTAAGGAGTCTATTCAGTAATTTGGGTTTCTTATTTTTGAAGTCAGGAATTCATTGTTTCTTTCACTGTGATAAATAGAACTTTGCTTTAAGTAAGTGGTAGAATGCCTGTACTGACCAGCCGTCAAAAAAAAAAAAAAGTGATGGAATACAGATAAAATGGATAATTTTGGGTCAGAGAACTTTTAATCTTGATATTTTAGCTTGTAAAAGAAACACCTAATTTTTTTGCCTTTTAAATTTTACATATATATATTTATTTCTCTCCCTAGCTGTAAAAATTAAAGCATATTCATTATAGGAAACTTGGAAAATCCAGAAAGAATCAAGAAGAAAATCATCCGTAACTCTGTATATAGTCCAGAGAATATCAGTAGTAAACATTTTGGCATATTTCCTTTCAGTCTCTTGTGCATATAGATTCTTTTGCATCATAATTGGATCATTTCTTATACAAATTTGGTAGAGAATACATTTTATGTGACTGTTGCAAGAACAAACCATCTTTGCTTTCTGAAAAATATACTAATTTCACTTGAATTTTGGCAGCACCGCTTTATTTTCATTCTTAAACAGAGGCTGAAAGCCTATTTCACTTGCAGAGCTGCCTTTTCTGAATTGTCCTTTTTCATAATTTTAAGTAGCATAAGATTACTTAACAGACATGTCACTATACTTGGAAGGAATAGTTAAGGTGCTCACGAATGTGGAATGTGGTACAGGATGGCATTTAAGGTTTTGCTTGGTGTTTTTTTGTGATGACTGGCTTGCCTAATAAGAAAGTGTTGGTCTGGACCTGTGGTGTCCAGTATTGTAGCCATTATCCACATTTAAATTGATTAAAATAAAAAATTTAGTTATTCAGTTGCATTGAGCCACATTTCAGTTGCTGAACAGTCACATATGGCTAGTGGCTAACATTGACAGTGCAATATAAACATTTCCGTCATCACAGAAAGTTCTGTTGGATAATGATTCAGATACTGTCACAGAAGAAAATGGTTTAATGAACTAGGATGAGAAATTCTAGGAAGGGGAACACAATAGATCCCTTCAAAAATTTTAATGATCTATCTTAGGAAATGAATTGACTAGGATATTTCAAAAAGGAAGACCAGGAGCAATAGGAAGAATATGGCTACCATTGAGTGCCTGATATAGCAGGTGCTGTTAGGCAACTTATATATAAGACCAACCTTGAGTGAGGTTACTGATGTGGAAACTGAAGGTCACAGAGGTTAAACTTGCTTAGCACCACATAGCTAAAAAAAAAAAAAGGCTTATGTTTCTGCGTTTCTAAAGAACTATCCCATAGTGGAAGCTTCAAAGATTGCCTAAATCTAAAAATATAATTTCTGAGGATCATAGATAAGATGACACTTGAAGTATGTAGCTCAAGCTGAGCACAACAGCTCACATAATAGTTCAAGCTGAGCCTTAATGACTATCTGTTAAGAAGATTGGGATTGATGTCTTTGTGAGGAATGTTTAGATACGTTCTAAGACTATGGATTAATAATACCTATGGAAACACTTTGAATTGAGAAATGAAGCATAAGTAACATTTGCTATAGTGTACTGATACTTTTTTTCATCATTCTTGCTTGGTTCTGAGAAGTCTTCAGTGAAAATTGCTGTATGGTTATTTTTTCCTCTTGTGTTATAGACCAAACTCAGTGCCTAATGTAAAGGAGTAGAGTGAGCAAGGTAGAAGAGGCAATATTGTGCAAACTAGGGAAGTTATGCTCTTGTTTTAGTAGGTAGCCTGTACCAGGATTCAGCCTTTATTGCCCTGTGTAGCCTTTTGTTGTAGTTCTCAGAACTGTACCTCATGTGGGAAATTACAAGTCCATGTTTATTCATAACATTAGACACAGGTTACTTTTATATTCACACTTTATTTTGGTGTACATATTTAAGTCAGTGAATCTTTAGGCCAGGTTCAGGTAACTGAAGGGCCTTTATAAGTACTTTATATTGTCTAGACCCAAGGTAGGCTGCAAACACAGTCTGGAGCAAAATGGGAAATAACATCTTTCTAAAGACAGGCTTAGAAATTCTAATCCAATAAGTTAGGATGTTTCCTTTCTCTGGTAGCGGGGATGATTGATACCTGTTAGGAAACATTAAGATATTTCATTAGAAAAGATTATTGTATCAAGTGGCAAACCTGTGTACAATATATATTAGTCCTAGAAGTTTGAAGATAAAAACTTGATAAAGATCAAGTAATGCTACTTTCTTCAGTGTCTACTGTCAAAAAATGTCCTGTTTTCTTTTCCTCTTTCCCCAGTTGGCCTCTGGAGGCTCAGATAGCATAGACTGCTGATGTAACAGTTTTAACAGAATAACCAGGATTACTTTGGAGTAGCAGGATTACAGCTAGACATTTTCTGATGGAATTTTCCTTTTCTGAGAAAACTGTATGTAATAATATAGCTTTCGTGCTAGGCATAGTACTGTTGACACCTTTGTAGTGAGCATTCAACAAAAATTAAGGTTACTAACCCAAACTACACACCAAGAGGCACAGTGTGACTAAGGTCTAGAACTGCTTTCAAATTCTTAAAAAGTAAAATTTGATTACTTGTAAGAAAAAACAAGTCAATAACTTCTAATCAAAGTAACATTGCCTTTGGTCTAAATGCCTTAGGAAACATATTTGCTGTTGAAGTTTTGAGTTTTCTAGGTAATCACATATATTAAAGTTTTTTAATGATGACGAGAAAACAAAGAATCCTACCTGGCTGCTAGGCCACCATTGACAGGTAGAGCCAAGAAAACAGGGTACAGACCACCAAAAGTGAGACCAACCAATCCAGCTCGTGTTACTGTACAGGTTTCACAATTCAGATAACCTAGGAAATAAATTTTGGAAATGAAGGTCATAGTAATCAAGCAAACATGATTTAAAGAATGCAAGGTCCCTTTACATGTGTTACATGTATCTAATTTTTGGGCAATAATACAGCAAATGCAATTCTGCAAGGCATGCTGAAAGGCACAATTACATGTACAGTTAACCTAAAATAGCCAGGAATAACTGATAAAACCATTTTAGGAAAAAATGCTGTAATTTGTTTTGAACTTAGATATAATCTCAGGGTTTGGGCTGCTGCTAGCTTTCTGTACTTCTTTTGTATCAGCGGACCTGGGCTAACAGGAAGGTACTTCAGAAAAGTTTGTGGAAAAATAGAATTAAAAGATAATATTAATCTTGCCATGAAGTTTTTGAAGTACTTTCATTTCCACTCAGTATGTTCGGTTCATTGGGCAATAGGTTTCCCTTGATCTAAAAAATTCTTTCCAGGCCCGGCCCGTGGCTCACTCGGTAGAGTGCGGTGCTGATAGCACCAAGGCCTTGGGTTCGGATCCCATATAGGGATGGCCGGTTGCTCACTGGGTGAGCGTGGTGCTGACAACACCAAGTCAAGGGTTAAGATCCCCTTACCGGTCATCTTTTAAAAAAAAATAAATAAATAAAATAAAAAATTTTTTCCAAATTGGTCATGGAATGCAAACGAAATACTCATTGAATTTAAACAAACTTAGAGCAGCACTTAACAGAGTAAAGAATTCGGACGGCCTGCCCACCCCAGCCCCCATGGTCATGATATTTTTATTTGAAATCATTAGTAGATCATTTGTAATTAGCTATGCTCAAAGCAGTCAGCACACGTGGTACATTTTCAAAAGGAAATCAAAATCTTGTATATGCATTTAGTGCTCTGGGAGATTTACTAAATAGTCTTATTCCCATAAAAATAAGGGAGTTAGCCTTAAAAAGTTATAAGGTTTCCAAGTATTTCTTCCTCTACATGAGCACTGGGAAAGATAAGAGTTAGATAAAGGAAAGTGTGTAGAACTTCTGTGTATGTATTTGTACCTTATTTGGCTGGTAGACCATGCTAATATGAGTCAGTTGCTGTATTATATAGAGGCTAGCAAAACTCAATCTTACTCAAACACTGAAATACAGCATATAGCTCCTTGATAATAAAGTATTAACTAAAGTTGCAAATAATATATACCAAGGCAAACTCTGGTGATAGTGAAATATAATTTACCTGTACTCAAAGGTAAACTTATAAAGCCATCGTAAGATACATGTGCTGTCAAAAATGGGATCACTGCCATTGGTAAGCCAGCAGCTATACGAGCCTGTGTCACATTCAAGATGCGTCGAAAAAGACTGTTTGCTATTAGGCCACAGAGAGCAGCATTAAGTCCAATAAATGTTGATCCATGTACAAGTAGATTCCTGAAGGGGTGAGAAAAAAATAACTTTCTTTGGCTTTGTTATGTGTGTGAGCTCTCTAGTTCTGGCATATGTTACAAAATTTCCCAGGATTTGTGAATAACTGGATACATCTATCCCACATTGCTCCATAAAACCAAAACCTTAAAAAATCATTATGTTTTACATTCAGGTTTTTATTCTAAAAGGCTTTTGAATTTGGTCAATACTTAAGGATACAGTGATACGTTTAGATTTTGCTACATTTTTGTGATTTTGCAAAGGATATTAGTATAGAAATTTCCCCCTCAACTATGTAGTAGGGAACAGCTTCTGAAGAGTATGAATTCCTACAATACCCAATACTTACCTCTCTAGTCCAGCACATCAGAAGGTGGTACTATCTTAAAATCATTGATTTATATGTCAGGCTTCCCCACTAATCTATAAACAACTTGAAAATAATGGATACAAAGTTGTATTCAACTTGGTTTCTGTAGCACCTGACCCAAAGTGTCCAATACTGTGGAGTTAACGTGTTCCCTTTCACTCTTCCCTTCAGCATTAAGTGTCAGGACTTGGAGATTGGGGGAGTACTAACATTTAAGCAATATTCTATGGTAGGTACTTTTACAACAATCCACTGATGAAGAATGAACTGATGTTTTGATATAGTAAGTGGCAGAATTGGATTTAAAGGCAAGGTATGTATGAATTATAAACCATGTTCTATTAATTTTGGGAAAAAATAATATCTAATATTTAAGCTGTATATTGAAAATACTCCAATTCAAACTTCTCAGCCTATCACTTAGCTTTTTTCCCACCTGTGTTACCATCTCCAACATAGTCATCCTCTCAAATTTCTTATTACTGTTAACTAGCCAAGCTAGCCACACTAATTTCTGTGATTCATACTCATCTTAAAATAGCTTTTCTAGGAACTCCTAGTTAAGCTTCCTACATTGTTTAAGATACTGCTTTTCTTTTTTTTTTTTTTGTCTTTTTCCGTGTCCGGCAACGGATCGCAACCCTCAGTGTCGCCCCCGTACCGGACCGGGACCGGCAACGGAATTGCAACCCTCGGTGCTGCTCCCGCGCCTCACTCAGCCAGTGAGCGGGAACCGGTCTGTATGTGGGATCCGAACCCTCGGGCGGGAGCACCGCCGCGCTTCCCAAGCGGCGCACTATCCAGTGCGCCACCGGGCCGGCCCTAAGATACTGCTTTTCTGACCTTTCACTTTGCTATCATAATGGTGCCTGTCGTTTCATACATTGAGATCCTAATACATACAGCAGACTTGGTGCTAAATCACAAACAAAAAATTATCTTCTGCCTTTAAGGTTTTCATAGTTGACAATTATTGGAGGAGAGACATGTAAATGATTCAATAGAAGTCTATGAAAATCATAATAGCAGTACAGGAATTTAGGGTACATAAGATAATATTTGAATGATAAGAGCCTAGAGAACTTGCCAAACAACTACAGAAAACGTAAATGTGAAAGGCCTGTTTTTTTTGTTTGTTTTTGTGGGGATTGGAAACTTGAGCAT